CAAACCTTCACTTGACACAATTATTTTCCTGTAGTGTTTCAACAATCTCAAACATTGTCTTGACATTTGTTCACGTTCTTCAGTCTTTTATTTAATGACTTATTGACAAGCATCCCTCCTAGAAATAAGGACAAGACTTGCTCACCATCCTCCTTCTCACAGTTTGGTAGCTGTAGAATAGTAGCAGATTGTACTGATATTGAGGTAGCAACTCCCAGTCTAATGAAGGACCAAAATGCTGTTTATTCTAGCTTCCACTGTTTGAATTCTGTTAAAGTTATTGTAGGGGTAGCCCCAAATGCAGTCATAACATATGTGAGAAAACTGTATCCAGATTCCATTTCAGATAAAAAAAATTGTAGAAAAATTAGGTTTATTACGATATCTTGTAGCAGGTGATTTAATATTAGCTGACAAGGGTTTCCTAATTAATGATATAGTCCCTCATGGTGTTTCAGTCAATATACCCCCATTTCTGCCAGTGGCAAGCAGCTCTACGACGCCCAAGAAACCACAGTTGGGCTCTGGTGGACGAAACGAATGTCTTGCATGGTTTAAGGACTATGCAGAGCAGAAATGTGTCGAGCAGGAGGCTCCGCGAGAAAAGGCTGAAAAACACCACAGAGATAAAATGGAGCTGCTCTCTGGCATCTTGGGTGTCCTAAAGGATTTAAACAAATGAATTCCTGCTCTTGAAACTGGCTTTTACTTTGCCCGTCAATTTTTGAACAACATATTACTGATTATGGACTATAAAGTTGCAAATGTTCAACAAGTTACTTTTATCTGCTGAAATCTTTTAACAGACATTTTAAAGTATTATTTCAAAACCAAGGATATTTATTATATGTTATTTATATATTTGAAGTGAAACAGTTTATAAAGTACATGTTAATGCAAGATATAAAATGATTTTATACTACTTATTATTAAAAGACAATTTTTAAAATTTGTGGCAGATGTTATTGAGTATTTCATAGAAAGGGAATGGCTTTATCTGATGTGCTGGGTAATTACAACATACTCTGAAAATTCTGCATAACACAGTTATAAATTTTGTTTAGAAATGCTGCTAGCTGACAGACTACATGTTGATCATGATTGGTATAAACATCCAAGTAACAAGTAATGTTACTACATGTGCCCATAGGGGTTTTTTGCTGAAAGCTAATACAATACTTTTTTTTCTTAAATTCCCATTTTGCTTGAGTTTACTGCTCAACATTGAATTTAAGAACACTGAACATTTCTTGGCATAGGAACACAGTTCATTGAACTTTGTTTTAGAGCAGATTTGGGCTGGTTGAATTTGTGGGGGAAGAACAGTGTGCAAACATAATATATCCACACATAGCTGATGCGAAAGCGAACATTTCCATGTTGTTTACTGATAGTGGTCTACTGTGTGATTCAGTGTACTGGCGTGTCCACAAACATTATTTCCCTTAAAGCAAAATCAGTTGCGCAAAAGCTAGGATTGTTCGAACAATTTAAGGCCTCTAATGGCTGGTGCTACCGCTTCATGGATCAATTTGGCTTCTCCATTAGAAGGCGAATGACAATTGCTCAAAAACTTCCACAAGACTACGAGGAAAAGTTAATCAAGTTTCAGCGTTACGTGTTGGCTAAACGGAAGGAACATGACTTTGACCTTAAATACATTGGTAAGTACAATTGTGATACTACTGTCTGGGTAAAAACTACTGTCTGGGTAAAATACACTAAAAGTCCAAGCTTCCGTGTCAGCCACTCACCATGCTGTTGACTAGCAAAAGCTTGGGCTTTTAGTGTAGTTTACCCAGACAGTATTTTAAGGCCACAATTGCATTTTCATTCTAGTTATGTATAAATCATGCTACTCAAGGACAACATGCAAAAAAGACAAGATTTTACTCAAAAAGCTAATTTATGACTTGTATCTCTGCGAGTGTCAAGTATACTGTCAAATACCTCTCTATAACTAAGAAGAGCTGAAATATTTAATTGCAATACATTCTTTAAGTTTTTAGCCATAATATGTTCAATGTTCAACCGTTAAAAAAATATGACCCTGAAGGCTTGAAAAAAATTGTGACTCTCCCCCCAAAAATAGTAGCCCAACCCCCCCCCCGCTAAATAATGACCAGTCCCTAATATATATAAATCACTATTACAGGTAGAGCAGACAAGAAGTCAAGTGTAAGGAAAATTTTCAACCATCACCAGATAGTAGATTTTTTACAACAGCAACAGAACTTAACAGTAATTCTGCATGAGCTCATTACGCTTGGCAACTGCATGACAACCTGGAGTCAAGATATTTTCAAAAAATGGGCAGTCCTTTGTGCTTACAAAAACCTTCCATGATCACCTCAGCTCTTGCCTGGTTTGGCCACACAATAACCTGGCCAGTGATGTTATTTTTCAGCGCTTTGCAAACTCTGTTGACACGTGTAAAAACTGAGCTCTTCGTTACATTGAATCTGTCTGATATTGATCTTATTGACTCTTGATTTCCAAG